CCTAAGCAGTTCTGTTTGTTTCCTTGACATTAAATGTAGTTTCCAGTTCTCTTAGTGCAGTTTATACTTTCATTCAGAAATCCTGCCGCTATCACAATTATTTTATCAAATTTACTTACACAATTATGTTGTTGATGGGGATATGGATCAGTTTCACAAAGAATCCAATAAATCCCATTATTGCAAAGCCTATTGCTGTTGCCATGGCAATTTTCTGGAATTCTACAATTAAAAGAAAAATCCACAGGTTAGTATAAAAAGCTTAACATGTGCCACCCAGGATGTAGCAGATGGCTCACTACAATGGATGTGGAAGATTTTTCAAGGGCACATCTGTCCCACTGCCTTACAGAGCCATCAGGCCTCCGTGGGCAAAAGAACTGCTATCAGTGCTGCCTCTTCTCTGTAGGACAGCCAGTGTCCAACCTAGGCACTCTCTAGGTCAGAAGAACTGAGGGAAAATGATTTAGCTGGCCTGTAGACCCTACAAAGCCTACATGACACTCTTCTGCATTGCCTTCCACAGGGATGAGGACACAGTGATTTGGTTTCCATTAGGGTTCTTCTGAACTTAATTTTGTGTTTGTTGTAGGGAGGGGGAGAGCATATGTTGTTTGGGGAAAGCCATAGAACCAGTCCGGAAGAGGGGGTGATGGCACAGGTAGGGAAAAGGGGGAAAATGATTTCCATACCTAGATATGAATGAGGTGGGGAGGGACAGATGAATTTGTTCTTCCAGGTGATAGGCAAGGTAGTAATGGATGGGACATGGTGGAGTTTTAAGGTTCTTGGGTGCTGTTTGGGGAATCTGTTGCTTCTTATCTCCTGGGTTATCTGTCTTACTGTAAGCTGCCCTAAGCCTTTCTGGGTAGGGCAGAAAGGCTGGGTATGTACCTTATTTTTATGTGACATATATATATGAGGCTGTCACTACATATATAGCCCAGAGAGGCTTCCTGGCTTATGTAGCCCAAAGTCCTTCTGGCTAGGTATGGCTCCCCCCTCCCTTTAAGCCTGCCCCCTATAACATCAGGGATGACAGCATTGTTCTAATAAACCAACAGCTCTGAGTTCAAATGTCACAAGGGCTCTTTTTTGCTAAATTGTCTTCCTCTCACTCTGCCCATCTTCCCAGCCTGGCTAAACAATGTACTCTTCAGTGATCCAAAATTCAAAAACAAATCCTACTAAAAATGGAAACTTGCTCATGTTACTACGGAAGAATATGAGATTGCATAAGCATGTAAGAATATCAGGAAGACCCAGACATGATTCGAGATACAAGCAGCAACGTAAAAGGTACCAAAAAGGAATTTTAAAAATATGTCAGAAGTAAGGAAGAATAAGAAAACCATAAGTAAGGTCAGCTACCTGATAACAAGTGTAGTCAGCAGCCAGGAGAGTGGATAAGCAGCCCACAATGCTGGAAGGACACACTTCAGACAGTTTTCAGTCACAACACCCGTCTACCACTACTTTGAATGTGGCAGTACCATCTCCCACAACATTATCTTCAGTAAGTTAATGACTGAATAGTACAGTCAAGTGGATACACAGCTGAGTGGATCATCATATTGTTTAATATCTTTATTAGTGATTTGCAAGAGGGGACTGAGTGCAAATTTGTACACACAAAGTTGGGTGGAGTTGCAGACATTCTGGAGGTAAGGGTTAAGATTCAGAATGACCCAGATAAACTGAAGAAATAGTTCAGCCCCTCCCAAAAAAAAAAAAAA